CCTCCTCCTCCTCCTCCTGCTCCTCCTGCCCCTTCTCCTTCTTTCTCCTCCTCCTCCTCCTCCTGAATGTTTCCTCTGCTACAGGGCATTGCATGCCAAAACAACTAGACACAAAAATACTTTTCCCCCATGCCATCACTCTGCTAACACCTAATTCCCATAGCACTGTCAAATGCTTAAAGATATTTACCCATGTTGTAGTGCTGTATTACTATTATCCTTCTCATCTTTTCTATTATCTTTACCCATTAGTATGATTATATCACTTTGTTGTTGGTATGTACACTGAGAGCTTATGCACCAGAGACAAATGCCTTGTGTGTCTCCAATCATACTTGGCCAATAAAAAAAAATGCTATTTTCTGTTCTATTCTATTATCTGGCTGGAGGAAGCCTCTAAGAGGATAGAAACAAAGGGAAAGGCATGAAATACTGAGCCCTGTTAAAAAGCTTTTAATTACTAAAATCCATTCCTTCCTCTCCCCACCCCACCCCTCTCTGATTTTTACTGAAATGTTTTCTTTAAATGAAACAAAAGACAACTATAATGGAAGTCAGATAGCAAAGGAACAAAAGTTGCAAGAAAATAAAAAATTGAAAAAAAGAGGTGACTTTCAACATTCTACATAACTGTTTTATTTTACCTTGCCGTCAGGATTCCGACAGTTACCCCAATTAAATCATGAGTTTTGGGCCAAACTTCCAAATCCTCAAAGGATTTATTGGGAGTTAACATGTGTTCTGACCCAAACCCTTTTCCAATAAGACAAACAATAACCAAAGGGAACAGAAACCTTTTAATGAGTCTTGCAATCCCTGGTTAAAAGGCTGCTGCAAACTAATTAACTAATTGTGTTTGATAAACACAAACCTTGCATGGAAACTTCATGCAAGGAAAGCAGCAGAAGCAGCAGAAGTCTGTCTTTCTCTCCCGCAAACTCTGCCAGAAATGAGTCTTTGTGAGACTTGTCATGCCGGCTCAGCCTCTTGGAGCAGGAGACGCCTTGCAGGGTCCCAAAGACTCATTTCTGGTGGAGTTTGGGGGAGAGAGAGAAAGACTTTGGCTGCTTTCCTTGTGTGCAGCCAAAAGCAGAAGGAGAAAGAAGCAGAAAGAAGCAGACTGATGGCCAGGCAAGGCACGTGGGGTGAGGTGGGTGAGTTCCCCCCTGCCCTTTCTCCCCTCCCCTCACCACCTCGTGTTGTTCACAATGCAAGCGACGTAAGCCTTATGTTCCCATGCAGCCTGGATTAATTGCTTTAGAGTCCACATTTCTCTGCGGACCACAAAAATTTTCTCGTCCCACTGGTTGGCAACCGCTGACCTAAAGCACTCTTCAAATCATATTCCAAATGAAATTGCATTGAAAAGGCACCAGGAAAATCAGTATTATTTCAGTCAAGCTGGAGCTGTGAGCCCACCATCTTCCTAGTCACTTTACCCTGGAGTGGAAGGTTAGAGATTGCTTAGTACAAAAAATTGTCTGCTACAATGTCCTGCGTGTCCATGACGACTTCAGCTTCAACCGCAATAACACAGGGCAAACAATAGATGCAAACTCAAAGTAAACCGCTCCAAACTCGATTTCAGGAAATATAACTTCAGCAATAGAGTGGTCAATGCCTGGAACTCACTACCTGACTCTGCTGTTACATCCTCAAAGCCCCAAAACTTTAACCTTAAATTGTCTACCATGGACTTCACTCCATTCCTAAGAGGTCTGTAAGGGGGCGTGCATAAGCACACCAGTGTGCCTCCTGACCCTGTCCTTCTGTTCCCATTTATTCATACTCATTTATTATGTATATACTTATAACTGTTCATACTTATACTTGTTTTCTCATACATGCTTGACAAACTGAAATAAATAAATTCATTGTGTCTCATCTTAAACCCCTTCCCCATGGACTAATCCTAGCCAATCATTATTTTTTAAATCCATTTAAAAAGAACTTGGTGATGGTATTTTTCTCAGCTCTCCCTACTTAGTTTTGACCAACATAGAATTAAGTACAGTGGAGAAAGTATTATATTATCTCTCGTCATGACCTTGGAGTGATAAAAAAGTTATTTCAAAGAAGTGAAAGAAAGGCAGAAAAGAAAAATGGGAACAATCCAGCATTACATGGTGGTTTTTGAAATGTGGATCTCAGGGGCCAGAGGCAAACACATAACTTCTACAAAACAGTGATTTCTGATTAATTTATTTGCTAAATTTACACCCTTCCTTTTTGTTTATTCAACAAACATTAGGTGCAGAAATGTGATCAGATGACTAACAACAGATTAAAAATAGAAAATACAAACCCCAAGAAGAGATGACTACAACTTTAATTAAAGCAAAATCAGTATACTTAAAATTGAACTCAACTTAGCAATATATATTTAAACTGGCCTATATTTATTGGGTGGATGCCACGTTAATATGGATGTTAAAACAGAATTACGTTTTCAGAATCACCAATGAATTCTCAGAGTAAATGAACTTGCTGAGTGATTGAGGGTGAGGATAAAATACTTAGGGACATCAAAGCAGTTGAAACTTTTTGGAGTATTTTGATTTATGCCTGCAGAGTGAACAAACATCAGGTGCAGAAAAGTGAAGATAAGGAAAATCATTCCTTTAGCTCCTCATAGGTAATTACCAAGATTGAAGAAAAGTTTAACCCCTTTAATCCATAAGCTGTTTCATCAAGTCATCTCAACAAGATCTGTTCACAATGATTCAGAAACCTCTGTTACAGTTGAGAAAATGAAACACTAATTTTCTAATCTCCTCAGCATCACATTTTGACAATACTGGATTTGCTAGAAGAAGAGGTTTCTCTGAATTAATTATCAGGTCCTGGAAGAGCACTATAAAAATATGGTTGTTGTTGTTTTTTAATCACTCTCATGAGTACGTCATATTTGGGTATGAACCTGGACCTCTGGTGGCTTTTCATTCTCTTCTTCTTCCTTGAAAACTTTCTGGAGGATAATGTTTAGGTTGTAAGTAGAATGATGCTCCTTCTTTCTCCCTAGTAGAAGATAGATCAGTGGGTTAACACTGCTGTTTAAGCAGGCACATAGGTAGCCATATGTAATTAAATTGACAAACTTGTGCTTGAAAAGAGTCTCATTGAGATAAATGGCAATTGGTGGAACAGAGAAGATGAGGAAGAAAAACAGGGCAACCAGGGTGATTTTGAGAAGTTTTCCTCGCTTCTGCATTTGTGATTTAAGGTAGCCTTTGATGAAGAGAGCCAGACTGGAGGCTACCATGAGTGGGATGCAAATAGAGGTACAGATGAGAATGTGATAGAATGAAGGGAAGCTTTTAGTCAGTTTCACCCCTAACAGAACATAATGAATTACACAGAGGAAAAAAGAGATTAGCCATGAAAAGACACAGAGTACTGTGGATAAATGTAGTGGCTGATGATATCGGTACCAAATTGGGAAGAAGAGAGCCAAACACCGGTCAATGCTGATGATTGTCAGAAGAAATTGGCCAATGCAATAAGTGCATATGAAACTTTCTGTTATTATTAGGAGAAACAATCTCTTGGTCAGGTCCAGGATTCCTATCAGAAATAGGAATAGTAGAGTCCCACTGTCAGCCATGGCCAAATTCAGGATGTAGACAGTGAAAGAATTTCTCTTAATCATGCACCCCAAAAGTCGGATGACAATTCCATTTCCAATCATTCCTGGAATACAGATTAAAATGATTAAAGAATATATGACTTTTTTTTGATATTGAGGCTCAGAAATGCTGCTCTTTGAGTAGATATCTGTCTCATTGGAGCTCAATGCCAAACTTTCCGTTTGAGCATCTGTTATTCCAGAAAAGTATGGAGTTTTCATATTGGTTGCTGTCTCCTGTGGAAAATGAATCTTACTTCGATTTTCTTGCTGCTTTGCGTTGAAGGCTAAGGATGGATCCGGACAGCTAACAGACAAAGCACTCGCCCTTCCTTCAGTCAACAGCCATCAAATGACTTTTGCCTCTGTTCTGATTTTTCTAAGAAGGGTGTGGACAATTTCACAGAAAATCTTCAGCAAAAAAAATCACTTGGGTTATCCTTCTGGGTACATTGCATTGGTTCTTGCTCAAGAAGGCAGAAATGGTGACATCGATGTCTGTAGATTATTTTCTCTCATCAGTTTTCAGCCATATAGGTCAATTCATCATCTGGAATCACCTGGTTGCAGAACACATAAAGAATTTGATTCCTACAAAGTAAAGATCATGTTTCACCTTAATGCCTTCCCATACAAGCAAAGCAGAAACGACTCCTGGAGAACAGTTAATTTGGCCAGTTAAAAGAGGAAATCTTTTTTTCCGTTTTGTGGGTAGTTTACTTTCCTCTGCTTCTTTCCAATAATTGTGTCATATCTAAAGCGGAAAAAATAGTCAGATGATCACTTTAATGGCATGCAACACAATATGGATCTTTCCATCTTTATTTTAAAGTGTAAATCAACTGTTGGACAAAGTTATTAATCATAATTCTTATCCTTCTAAAATATTCTCTTTGGGATCACCTATTAATAACAGAACATTTAATAATAGTTTGGTTGGCTTATGCTTGCTCCCAGATAAACATCACAAGAGAAGAAAAAATAGTCCTTTGGGATATTAATTGATAAAGGTTTTCCCTACTAAATATTTCTGACAATGTAGAATCCCACATGGTCGGTGACAATTTAACAAGGATTCTAGGTAGCTACCATCTCACTGAACTAAACTCAACCAAACTAAATTAAACTGCAAGCTAACGAAATGAAATATAGTATACAATGAGACTATTCTCCAAAGCACCTGAGAGCAGGACAAGAAGCAATGGGTGGAAACTAATCAAGGAGAGAAGCAAATTAGAACTAAGGAGAAAATTCCTAACGGTGAGAGCAATGAATCAGTGGAACAAATTGCCTCCAGAAGTTGTAAATGCTCCAACACTGGAAGTTTTTAAGAAGATGTTGGATAAACATTTGTCTGAAGTGGTGTTGGGTTTTCTGCCTAAGCAGGGGGTTGGTTTAGAAGATCTCCAAGGTCTTTCCAACTCTGTTATTGTAACTTCTAAACAATAGCTGTATACAAACATCAGAGAAGCCACCTTCAAAACATCTCCTGCCCCAAGTCAATTCTCTTTTGTAGAACAGCCCAAATGGAAGGACATATTTTTGCAATAATATAAAATGTGCAATTCCTTGATCTGAAAGAGGAATGAATGTAGTGGGGAAAGAGCAGGGGGCAAAAGTAAACAAAAGACAAAAATATTTGATAGATAGGAGACAATTGCAGAAATATGTCTGCTCTCTTTGACCTGAAAACAACATAGTCAAGGAGTACAGCTGCACAACACAAGACATATCCAGAGACATATCCAGATTCTCCAGAATGAAAATGAGGAGCTTAGAATTGGGTCATGGGGAGGCGGGGGGGGGGGTCAGTAGAAAAGAGCCAAGAGGGATATCTTCACAAAGTTTCTAGCAAACATTTGAAAGGAAACAATGTTTTTGACAAATAGCCACATCTGTCAAAAAGAGCAGGAGTGGATTTGTGAGTCACTGCAGATTAGGACTTGATAAAGGCTAGGAGACCGCATGCTCAAGCCTCAGACCTCACAAAAAGAATATTGGTCCCGTGCTTACAATTCACAGGGTTACACCATGGAAACATTCTAAGGCACAATATACTGGAGGCATCACAAACCTCCACATAGTCTCCAAACATATACGAACACTTAGTTGGAGCCATGAGTGCTTTCATGGCAAGTTGGTTGGCATGAAAATACAGGTGACTACATCTAGAAATGGTGTATCTACTCAACTCAACCATTTAACTGTTTTTTTTTTTAAATAACTGGTCATCTATGATGGATAACCTTTTGTAAAAAAAAGTCATACTTTCAAAAAATCTTGTATTTGCAGTTTCTGAGGCTTATTCTGAATTGAGAATTATTATTTTTCATAATAACAGTTACCATGATGAGAGTTTTATCTTTGTTAAGGACATACCTGGTGGTGAAGTACAAAAATTCCTCAGGAGGTTCAACGGATCTCTTGGAGAACCCAAGGAAGTTCAGAAAGCTAGATTTCTTTGCTGACTCCAGGTTGGTCTGCCATGTGGCTGTGGTGATCACACAGAATTTATTCAGCACCAGAAATAGATTTCCAGTAAAGAGGAACTTGCTTAACATTTTATTAAGTGTATCTACCAATGTTTTGCAAAGGAAAGACTTAATCATAATTCAAAAGGAAAAACAAAACTCACCCCCTTTTATAACTTCTGTGAGAATGAGAAAGCCCAGGAAAGTGAATCCAAATCCTTCGTTTGCAAACATTAGTTATTTCTGAAATATTTACATGAAAATTCAAGTCAATTTAATGGATAGATGGATGGATAAATACTTTTTGTAATTTTCTATTATTTGTGAGGTTCGTTAGAAGATTGAGCAGGGCTGGTGTTGATATTGATTAGCATATATTCTTGGGGAAATAGAGTTTAAGAAGAATATTTGTAACAAAAGAAGTAAAAACAAACTTTAACTATGGGTTTTTTTCCCCAACATACAGAAGGCATCACTTTCTTCACCCTTGAACAATATTCAGAACTACACTTAGTCCAAAATGGACAGCCTACGTCGTCTTGAGCATTTTTCATTTTGTCCATGTGACACTTCTATTTTGTCAATTGCACTAGTTATCAGTGGGATTGAAGATATACATTCACAGTGTTGGCTGGCCCCAATAAAGATCTCTATGGCTTAAGACTTGGACACCTAAGGGAGCACCTTTGTTTGCTTTTGTATCACAAGAAAGATCTGGCAGAGTAGGTTCATTCCAGGTCCCATCTATCAACAGTGTCTTTTAGAAGACCTAAATATTTGCCTTCTGTGTGACTGTGTCTACCCTATGAAGATACATCCCTTCTGAAATCTGTCTGGCTCCATCTCTTCTGCATATTCAGAAGTCTTGAAAGATCTCTTTCTCGGGGCCTGTAGCTCTTTCTACATGCCCTGGGAAAGGATGCTTCATGATCAACACTCTGGAATTAGGTTTAAAAAATTGTCTTACCTGTGTTACAGAACTCCAGCTGCTTACAGAATCTGCCCCATTCATTATTCTGTAAAGAAATGAGTGTCCCCTACCGTTTTCTGCACACAAAACCTCCCTTCTTTTCTTTGCTTCTCTTAATGCTATTACTGGACAGAGTCAGGGACAAATGCCTTCTCTGTTGCTAAATGAAGTTTAGTATGAAACAAATAAGTCACTATTGACTCTTTGATGGTTTCTGAGCTTGGTTGTTTGGAAAACCACATCCCCGCCTATACTGGCAGGGCAAGCTACAGTAGATAAACAGGCATCATCCCCCACGCTCAAATTCATTGAAGATGTTATCTTAATAGATAATGAAATGCCTATAAGCAACCAAACTCAGAGAACATCAAGGACTGCACAAGTGTCTTCTGCTCATTTTGTCATCTCTTGTGGTTATCGCATTTCTTTGTTATGATTATCTGATCAAACACAAACTCACTCAACTCTTGTGTTCTCCTGCATCCTACCTGCAGAAGATCCTTCCTGGTCTTGAGATCCTGCCTATTCTTCAGATCACAAAGATGGCTCTGCTTTTGGAGTCCTTGGTGGTCGCTGAGCTTAGCTGTTGGTTTTCAAATAAAAATTACATCTCCACGAACATTGGCAGGGCAACCTACTGTGTGTAAACAGACATCAAACACCAAACTCACTCACATTGCAGATGCTACATTAATGGGGTAATGAAACTGTCAGGGTTCCCACGATTGCCCTAATTAAATCATGATCCTTGGGCCAAGTTTCAAAAGAATTCAAAATATTTATTAGGAACAACATGCTGGCATTAACCTAAATATAGCCAACTCTGGCATATGTAATTTACAGTCACCTGTGACCCTGTTTCCCCCCTCCCCTCTGGGTGTATCATAAATCAGATTCTCCAATAAAGCACGTCCACAGGCTAGGTGTCATCAATCATATTCTACAATGAAGGATTTTCGAGGGCAGAAGATCCGATAGCCTAGTTGCAATCTTTTTAAGATAAGGGTGGAATGTACTTCTGGTTTGAAACTGCCATACTGCTCCTTCAGATTTCCCTCTCCCCTTATTTATGGCAACTTGAAAACAGGTATAGGAATGTTTTACGAGTTGACAGAAATGTCTGCAAGGAAAGAACCAAGTTCAGAGAGCATCAGGGACTCCACAGTTCAAATCTGAGTTCTGTATATTCTCTTCTATGGAAACAAGTGATTTCCTTTCGGCACCAGTTGTGGTTATCACACTCTCTTGCTGTGGTTACCTTCATCAAAAGCAAACCTCATGCAACCCTCCCCATTCCTCCTTTTTTCTTCTTCTGTTTCCTGTCTGTATAGCCTGGCCTCGTTTTTTGTTTTTTTTTTGCTTATTCCTGAGATCGAAAAGGTGGCTCTGCTTTTTCCTGGTTTATAACACTAATTATTAGGTGTATTGGTTCTTTGCTGATATACTGTAATGACTATTGTTCATTGTTATTGTTAATATATTGTGATTTGGGGGGAGGGATAAATATTCTTTTTTTTAAGCCTAATTAAGATTTGTAAGTTTCTGTTGCCTTTATGACTGAGATAGCTTATCATTTGCTTTAGCTTATATAGTCATTATATTCAAATCAATTCAGATTAGAGCTGGAAGGGACCTTAGAGGTCTTCTAGTCTAACCTCTTACTCAAGTAGGAGAGCCTATATCGTTTCAGTCAAGTCCACCCTGTTTTTAAAAACCTCCAGTGATGAAGCATCCACAACTTCTGAAGGCAGGCCGTTCCACTGGTTAATTGTCCTCACTGTTAAGAAGTTTCTGCATAATTCCAGGTTGCTTCTCTCCTTGATTAGTTTCCACCCATTGCTACTTGTCCTGCCTTCTGGTGCTTTGGAGAATAAGTTGACACCTTCTTCTTTATGCCAGCTCCACAAAAACTGGAATACTGCTATCTTGTCACCCCCCCTGGTCCTTTTCTTTAGAATAGCTATACCCAAATCCTGAAACTGTTCTTCATATGTTTTAGTGTTCAGGCCTTTAATCATTGTAGTTGCTGTTCTCTGCACTTTTTCTCTCTCCAAATTTCAACATCTTTATTGCAATGTGGTGACCAAAACTGGATGCAATATTTCAGGTATGGTCTTACTAAGGTTTTATACAGCGATACTAATACTTCACTTGATTTTGATTCTATGCCACTCTTCATACAACCAAGGATTGTATTAGCTTCTTTGGCTGCTGCTTCACACTGCTGGCTCATATTTAAGTGATCGTCCATTAGCACTCCAAGGTCCCTCTCACACTTCATTTTTTGCACCAGGGTTCACCTAAACTGTATTTGTATTTTGTTTTTTGGTTTTTCCTCTCTAAGTGTAAACCCTTGATTTTCTCTACATTAAATTACATTTTGTTGGTTAGGGTGCATTGTTCAAGTCTGTCAACTTCAACCATTTATCCAGAAGGTATAGGGTTTCCTGCTTGAGAAGGGGGTTAGATTAGAAGACTTCCAAAGTTCCTTCCAATTCGGTTATTCCAAATACGATTTTCTTTCTGCATGTAACTTGCTGAGAACTGAGACAAGAAGATTACTGTGTGGGAAAGAGGAAGGAATGACAAAGGATTAATTTCAACATACAAATATTGCCCAAACCATCTAGCCCACAAGAAATAGATGAACTAATCGGATTTTTTTAAAAAAAGGTGTGTGAAAACGGAAATGAAAATAATGACAGTCATTGCAGAGAGAAGAAGCTTGAACTTTATGTTATAGACTGTCAGCTGCCAGCCACCATCACCCCAGCAGCCAAGTCAGATGGGGAGGAGGAGACATGGGAGTCAGGGTCAGCATCCAGGCAACCTGAGAGCTCCAAGGGGGAAGAGGGAATAGAGCTGGCAGAGAGAGAAAGATGGGCCATCCCTCAGCTTTCAGATGGAGAGTCAACAGTCCGAGGTCTGGAGGTGGCTGATGAGGAAGAGGAGGGACAGCTGGGTTCAGTGCCTGACATGCGGATGCACAAATGGCAGAGGAGAGGAGAGCAGTGGAAATCTATAGGCTGGTCCTTGGGAAGAAAGAGCCACTATTGTTAGCGAAGCTCCACCTGAGCTCAGGGATAAAAGGCAGGGGGCAGACATGAATAGATGTGGCAGACAACTATTCATCTTCCCAGTGGCCAGACTTGTTAGTCTGAGAGAGACTTTTTACCAGGGCTACTGGCACTCCTAATAAAGGAATCCTTTGCATTCACTGAAGAGGGTTTATTGTGTTTGAGGAGTGGGGTCAGAATATTTATAACAATTGTGAATATACCAGAAGTATTGACATAATTGATCCAGTCTCAGAAGTAATTAGGGCTTATTTTGGGGGGGGGTAGGGCTTATATTGGGTGCACACATAAAAATCAAGGTAGGACTAACTTTCTGGTTAGGTCATATTTTGGGGAAAGCAGAGTTTTAAAAAGGCAGAATGTTGTATTTCCCCTAAAAGAGAAATAGAAATTTTAAGGGAGACAGAAACTCAGAGCCACAATTCCCTTCCCCCAAGCATATACTAAACTGAAGCCAATTTTTAGAAATGCAAATTTGATAATCCATTCAAGTCAGGATACTTTTAACAAAGGCAGAATTAGGTAGAAGGATAGAATCAGCCCCCACTCAAGATCCAGACCAGGAAAGCCATTAAGACACAATAGGAATGGCCCAATAACCTCTCAGGATACAAGCCTCCTCATTAGAGAGTCCAGGCTCAATCAAACTTAACTCAGACAACCTAAAAAGTTAGCTATGACCCCCCTACAGCAACCAATAGAATGCATGCTCTTGCCACAGGAACAGGAAGCTCAAGTTCAAAGCCCAGAGAGTGTATAAATAACCCTCACTCTCCACTCCATGAGCTACCCAAAATCACACGTTTGGTGGTTCTGCTTCACCATTAAACCATATTTCCAGTCAGCCTACTTGTTTCCAGTGTCTTTCTCCCCACTTGGAACAGAACCAGATGGATATTTCTTCTAACATATTCGTAAACAAAATGCCTTCAATCACAGCACCCACAGAAGGCTGGAGCTGATGGGATTAAGAATTTAGATTCCTCCGCTGTTTTGAGCTTCCCTGAAGATGGACCGCTGACCATGATTGTGCACGGCTTTGGTTCATGCTTCGGCATTGGAGAGCCCCATCCTTTGGATCTGGAGCAGAAGCCACCTCATAGGGGTGGCGGAGGAAGGGGAGACTGTCAGCTAGGTAGAGGGGAGTCGCAAATCTCCTCCCCGGCTTGGCAATTATTCTCTCCTGAAGGCTCCTGAACCGGTGGTCTAAAATGGCTACCCTGAAGGGAAAGATGAGACTGGAGTTTCTGGAAACCAAATAAACCTTATTTCCTTGCAGCAGCCTCCATTTTATTTCCAGTGCCTTTCTCCCAATGTGAAACCAGACCAGGTTTTTCTTCTCACATGATCTTATAGCATGCCTGATAGGTAGGTTATTAACAGTTAAGAAGGAGTCAAAATAAAGTGAGAGAGAGAGCAATCTAAAGAAACTCTGGTAGAAGCAGCATACTGAGAGGACATATTGGCACAAGAAACCGCACGTGTCAATCAAGACAGAAAACCTAGTTCAAACATTTCTGGCTGGATCAGACAGATAGGAGCTTCATCACTTGAGTCCTCCAAGAAGAGATTGGACTGACTTTTGTCAGAAATGGTATAGGGTCTCTACTTGGGCAGAAGGGGGTTGGACTAGGTGACCTACAAGGTCCCTTCCAACTCTGTTAATCAGTAAGATGAACTTTTCAGCAATGAAGGCAGGACCTTCCTGGATTTGCTGTACATTTAAGATGAACCATGGGCTTCTCCAGAGCTGGCTAACATAAGCATATGGGCAGTACTCTGCTACATTGGACCTCTGGCCCATCTATTCCAGCAATCTGTTCTCACAGAGACCAATTCCAGATCTTACAAATTAACAGAGTTGGAAGGGACCTTGTAGGTCATCTAGTCCAACCCCTGCCCAAGCAGAAGACCCTATGCCATCTCTGACAACTGGCAGTCTAGTCTCTTCTTGAAAGTCTCCAGTGATGAAGCTCCCACGACTTCTGAAGGCATTGGTTGATTCTTCTCATAGTCAGAACATTTCTCCTTGTTTTCACTGCACTAGGAAGTCAGCTGGACTCTTAACAGATGGCCTTCAGAGTTGATTATATCACAGACTCTCCAGGCCTCAGCTAAAAAGCATTGATTCCCATGATTTACATAAATTGTTTCAATCCTGGCTTTAATCCAGCCAAGCTGGCAACCTTGGGGTAAAGGATTTATACATTACGACTCATAAAGAAACGATTCAGCTGTTGAGCCTAACTGCTGACACTATTCCCTAAAGCCAGGGGTGCAATTCAACTGGTATAACAACCAGTTCAACTCCACGCTCCGCATTTAAAAAAAGCTAATACTTACCTTCAATTGCGGCTGAAGAAAACAGCTGAGGTACATGTGAATGTGAATCAGCTGTGCTCCAACAAAAAGACATAAAGCACCGTAAAGAGTGGGCAGGCCCACATGCTCATCGGAGCGAATGGTTTGGAGCCAGCTGATTGTCGGAACAAGAGGTTCACCTGAACTAGTCTGAACCAGCAGAATCCCACCCCTACCTAAAGCAGCCATCTAGAATATAAACCCTGATGATGTTTATGATGTTTGTGAATGAAAAGGGAGATCCATTAAGATCCCATTATTCCAGAACTGGTGAGGCAGGTACTGTTTAGAAATAATGCCCATAAAAGATTGGGAAGAAAGGCGGCTTACAATGATAGAATCTACGTGCATATCTTTAAAGAATAGCAAAAAAAAAGCCAACGCATAAAATTAATAATGAACACTTGTTATTAAGTTTAAGTAAATATTATGTCTGAAATTTGTGACCACATATGATAATATGAGCCAGGTATCTGATGACATTTCCAGCATTTATCCAATTTACTCTTAAACATTCTCGCAAGTCTCATGGGGTAGGTGCCACCTGTAAAACATCTTATACAAACTTTATAAAGAAAGCTTTTTGAGGAACAGGGGAAATTGTTCCCTTGAGTTTGAAGATGCTCTGATTAAGTGGACTATTTGCTGATTGATGTGAGAGGATCAAAAGAACAAAACTTCACTGACAGTTGAATTTCTCCGGTGATAAATGGGGCTGTGACCACTGAGGAAGAGACCCAGCTGATCACAGTCATTCAACAGTGCCGTCTGTTCCTTTGTTTGATACTATCTTCTACTTAAGGCTTACTTCCCTTCTTTGGTCATTAGAAATATGAAGACTGGGGACAATAAAGCTTAACATCCTTGTCTGAAGATGCCTTTCTGGCTATCTCCCAAAGGCGCTTTCCCAAAAGGCAACTAAACTTTCTTGGTTTTTTTCTTTAAAAACATTTTGCTTTTCAGCCAAGAAGCTTTTTCAGTTCTTTTTCAGAACTGAAC